GATCGTGTCCTACCGTCGGACCTAGTTTCGCCAGTCTAAATTGCAACAGCTGAGTTTTCTGCTCAGAAGCGTGTTGGGGGAATCGCCTGGTAGTTCGGCTCACATCTGATCGCACACTCATTCAGCACCACACGGGGGTTGAGTGAGACCATTTTTGTGGCTGCCGCTCGAACTTCACCCAATGGGATCGGAAGCTTTGCGCTCACGTGTGTTCGTCAGGTGCACAAGCTGCATTCACATCACAATAGCGCGCAAGGACTCACTGAAAATCGAACCAACTAATTCCAACTGGAAATCGGTTATGCTTGGTGTTGCTGTGGTTATCAATGTCTGAAGGATACCGATCACGTTTGGCGAAACAATTGTTTTTCGGTACTTAGCTTCCAAATCGGTTACCTAGGTAACACCAGAAAACAGATTACACAGTTAGACAGAACGCCAATGGGTAAGACTTTGTCATAGTCAACTGGCATTCGTCATTTGATTGGTTTAACTAGCTTACAGCCTCAGGATGACTGGACAGCGGAAACAACCGGGCATAATCGATCACGGGCATGACATTTGGAGTGATTGAACTGAACGCTTTTGAATGCGGAGATCAGGGGTCAACTTTCTTATCCCGGTCATCTTGGCTATCACTAAAGTGCGCGGTTGAACACTCTTGCACTTCGTGTGGGGGACAGGATAAACAACTTTGAAAGCGATGTCCAGATTGACTTGATGTTCGTTGTCGAACCATTGCGCTGTCTAGATCTCAACCAGCTTGAACGATACTCCTTCTTCCGGTTCGATAGTCTAACTGCGTGATCTGTTTTCTAGGATTGTCTATGTAATCTGTAAACGACTTGAACATCCATTATCACTATGTTCTACCATTACAACCAGAATTCAAACAGCACAAGAAGGCTTCGCGTTAGACGGCTTACGCGGTAGGAGTTTTGTTCGCCTGGACAGATTCGAGAAAAAAACCGAAATGACAGGCATTGGATCACTCATGGTAATTCATTGGTTTACGGAAAGTTATGGACAAATCATGCTTATCCTCACAGTGGATGTGGTCACTCTCTGATGCTTGCGTGGTTGTGTTCACAGACTTAAGTAAAGCGGTTGGATACCAAAGTGAGCACCTGCGAATTCCTTTTAATGGGATATATATATACACGTGAAGATTACCTGAAGAGCGAAGACGTTGAACCTACAGAGGAGTCGATAAGTGGTGGTGATCGGGAAGAGATTTCATTCATAATTTAGAGTCATACCAAAATCGAATGGTACTTCTATCGCACTTATGAAGCGCAACAATTTCGTTTCGTAATTTTTGTAGCCAATAAAAATTGTTTGAAGCCTATTTAGGGTCTAATCAACGGTACACAAGTCAACCCCATTGGCCGTCAAATCAAAAATCTGTTTTATGCTAATCATAAGAAATATGCATGCCTCACTGACTACACTATTGGATGCCGGGAATGTGCGCCAGAATTTCTTTCACGAGCTGATTACATAGAACAGAACGATTGATTGGGAACCGAAAACGCATGCGTTCAACGTTGGTTAATGTTGATCCTTAAGTATCATTTTTTTTTAAATAGTACAATTGCAATGCAGACTTACGATGCATTCACCGAAAATGGAAGGCCTTAAATTTCTGACACCTGATTTATTTTCGGTGGTTGCTAATTCTGCAAATGCTCATAGTACTGTTTGTCTACAGAAAGGTTTGGTCCTCATATTCCGCGGATATTACTTCTGTAAGTGAAATTAGTTTAACTTTTATAGTTTGAAACCATCATTGGATAGGTGCGATATATTCAATGAAGCAGGTATTTGTTGAAAGGGGACCCAGGATGGTCAAATCCGGCGTGGTCTAAAAATGGTAATGTCTGGACCAGAGTGCTTGATCATGCATGTCGTTGGAGCTTTTTCGATTACGGTAGCAGCTTATTCAGTGATGGGTGGCATCCACCCAATTCCCACGAACACCGAGTTTACATGCATTCTGTTACTTTATATTGGTACCGCTTTCTTCAAATAACGATCAAATTATTAGCCGAAAGGCAATAACGAAAACAGGTGCAGATTGCGATAAATGGTATCAAAATTTTCCAAAATGGAACCGGTCCCATGCAAATCACACGTACTTTTTTCATAGATATTTTCAGATCTCGAGCGGCACCCGGAACCCATTTATAGCTCACTTACGGACTCCGTCATTTCGCTGGTCACGTCTATAGAAAAGTGGGTGATTTTGGCTTCCTGGTTGATCCTCGGACTGTACTTACACGACAAGCGATTGATTGTCTCAGTGGGTGAAACGATCCGAAATCGGTGGATGGACAAATTGGAGCACTTGGAGGAATGCTTGATTGAACGGGATGATTTATGTGCGAACGCATTCGGGAAGCTTCATGTCGGTCTGAACGAGATCCGCATGGTTGTTGATTCGATCACCAGGTACATGATTCTTTCAGCTACGACTTCAGAATGCGTGCGTGAAAAATCACCCCCTTACTCACAGTGAATGCTATGATTGACTCGGTAGACTTAGGATAAATAAGCTGCATTCAGTATACGTTAACGCTCAACGCTCAACCGACGATTCTGATCGGTTTGTCCCAAACATCTCGAAAAAGGCATTTAATTAGTTTTTTGATGGATTTCCGGCAAATTTCTTCCTTAATATGACCCCAAGAACTGGTATACAATATACTAACAACGCACCAATCAGATGATATTACATAAATGCAGTCTGCTCATATATACACGTTGATTGGTAATGAGACAATAGAAAAAGTGGTATCGTCAAAAGACGTTCGTTTCTATTCCACTGTTTTGATGATTTCATGGATAAACTCAGTTATAGTGGTTTTCTGGCAAGACACTACTCGAATGGTCGGGTCCGTATCATCAATTTTCATAATACTATCAAACAAGAACTTACATTATTGTTTTTAATAAGTTATTCACAATCACTAAGAGCTCATGAATCTAGACGTGGTTATTGAAGATAAAGTGGTCATTGTAATCGTGTGAATGCCTTCCCTCTGTTATCTATTTGTTTGTATTTACGTCTTCAAGATGGGTAGTGGAATCAAGCCTATTCACTCTGCCCACATTTTTATACCATGCGAGTTCATAAACTCCACAGCCTGTGTATAAAGTTTTCGACTTTTAAGCCGAAGGTTTCACATTCCAAGTCCCGGCTTGGCCGCAAAGATAGTGGGCATGCCTAATGAATCTTGACCAAAACGCAGTGGCTGCCTAGCACTACTTTCTCAAAACCCCAATCGTACAGATTCTTTCACCATACCCACCTGTGACTCATAATCCTTGGTATGAGCGAGCGATCGACTAGCGTTCACATATCGCCTGATTCCGTGTCGATGCACTTGTGCTTTCCAGGATAGCATTTTTCTTACAAATTTTATAACTTTGTGAATGAAACTGATCTCTATAGGAAGCGGTAAAAAGTAACTTGAAATGAAGTCCGTTTTTATAGTTAACTGCTGAACAGTTAGCTCGGATAGTCAGACAGCTCCTGCATGCTCACAAGTCAAGTCAACAATCGCTTTATTCATCCTAATGGATGGATTCCCAGCTTCTTGCACATTTATCGTCGCATACAGTCACATTAAAGTGAAAAAACAGCATCGTCAATTCAAAGGAAAGTGGAGTACAAGTTTAAAAATGAATATCAATTGCGTAGGCAATTCAAGAAGTTTTCTCTAACGGATGCCTTTTGAGCCAGAAATCTCGAAAGATAGGGGATGACGGACAAACGATGGGCGGTGGTACGAGCATACACCAGTTTATAACGACATCTTGTTACAGCAGTGGATATACACTGTTTAAGTTCTGTGTGTAATGGGTGAGTGGTGTCTGACAGAATATTGTTACAGAAATTATCGCAGGAGATAAAATGTTTATCGGCGATAAAGTTAAGCAAGTGCAAATAAGAAATACCGTTTGTGCGAGAAATAATTTTAATAAACCGGCGTAGAATTGTGTACTCTTTAGCTCTAAGACCGGCAAATAAAACTGGGGAGCAGTAGAGAAGATGAGTAACAACACAAGAATATACAAATCGGGTGAGCAAACACAGTGGAACTTTTAAAGAACGCAAGCGGGTAATAAAGAAACACAACTGTCGAATTTTTACAAAAGTAGGAGTAAAATGTGAGATCCAGTTGAGATCTTGGCGGATAGTGACACCGAGGTATTGTAATTTTACTGCTCACTTGTGACTTTTCCTGATCTACTTAAAAGACGATTCAGTTACTCTTCGTCTCGGCCTGGCAACTACTAGCCGTGTTTCTACGTAGTATCCGTTTTACAAACTTAGTTCTCGAACACTATTTGAAAAGAAGACGGTCTTACACAAAATTATTTTGAATCTTACCAGATAATCATCTTTCTATTTACGTTGTTTGCGTCCATTGGGTGCTTATTACCACCCATGGGTTTATAGATCGGGGGTCTTTGCTCTAGGATCACCGATGTCGGCGTTAGCCTTTAAGGATGACGAGATCAAAAGGAGGGAGGATTTCTAATCAAAATGAACTAATTCAAATTTACAGTATACATATATCTCCCCAATCATACTAAATACAATTTGAACAAATGTGAGGAGGAACGAACAAGGTAAAGAGCTGCACACAAACAAGTTGAACATAGACTACCTCGACCCACCTGGCGATCGTGACGAAGCAAAAACAAATACGGCATCTAAATTGGAGTGCTGAAAAGATAAAGCAATCGCTTCAAACAACTATGAATCAGATATTCAATCAGTTGAGAAAATTGCCGATGCTAAATGAGGTTTATGTGTGGCTTGAACTACAGCGTGTGGATGATCACATTACATGAAATCATCAGTCGGAGCGATTCATTTTAAATACTGTAATGCATTAACTGTGGATTATTTGGGTGGACTGGCATATAACTAGTACGACTTTATGGAAGAATTTGGGGGTTTCATTTCCGGCCATCCTTGCAGTGGATCTCAAATTGTATGGCTGACAAATCTCAGTAGTCAGTGCTAGAGTGCAAAAAAGGGAAATTTGTATTTACTAATTACATTGAAGCTTTTAAAGGTTGTGCACAATATTTGCACTAGAAATGCTCAAAAAAACTTAGATCTAAAAGTGACATTGTAAAAATCTGTGGACGAAATACTGAATAAATTGTAGAGTTTAGAAGAAATTTTCAATTTTTCAGTTCAAATCACGGAGCTGCCTAATCGAGGAGTTCTCGTACACGAATGTATCAAAAGGATTAAGTTGGTAGCTGGATAAAATGAAGAATGGGATCTGCGTGCAGATAGATAGACATGTAACGGATGGGTACAGTCACACAAAACCGTTTACAGACTTCAAGCAGACGTCAACATCCCTGTCCCAAATATCGTGACGTGGAAAAGACAAGGAAATGACGGAAACACGGTTGATCATTTATAAGCCATGTTACGTCAACTTAAAGTCGGTCTTCAGCAGACGAACAAAAGAAGGTACAATATTGAGGGTACAGCAGTTTTTCTTGCCTGCAAACGGATGTGTCATCAAAATCGTAAGCAATAGCAGAGGCTATTATGGAATCAACCGCGCTATCGATTTTAAGCCAGAAGTACTGAAACCGATTAGGCTGAAACGTTTTGAACGTTTGACGTTCAGAACAGGGGCGTACCCCTTGCCGGGTGCTAACAATCAGGCGTTGTTTGTCGTTCAAGGAAAAGATTGGGCACGTGTACACAAATGCGTGCGAACAAGTCTGCATCAAGTTTGCGAATTTTTGTCTGAACCGGCTGCAGTTGATGTCTTGAGAAAATACAAATTTTCATACTTTTTATCGGGAGCAATCGGTGCAAGCAAGAGACGGGGTAGAGAAAGTTTTTGGGCTCATAACTACACCCGCAATCCTTCAGCTGCGTCCCATAGTTCTTTAGCCTCGACGCACAAACCGCTATGGGCGAGTCAGATCGAAAACTATCGGAGTTTTCTGAGGTCAACGAATGCCGAAACATTTTATTTTCTACAACTGTTCGTGTTATGAAATGAGAATGTGTGGCTATTGTATGCTGCGCAGTTGATCGTTGTAATGATATCAAAAGCCGCACCACATATTGATTGGAGAAGGTTTAAACAATGTGACCGTTTCGTCAAACCACTGGGTTCATCTCGATTGGCTTCATTGTTGTCAGTGAACCAATTTTAATAAGCTCCACTTGAAATGAACTCCGTTCGTGAGATGTCGATACATTATCAGACTGGGGATAATAAATATTGTTCCCATTACTATCACTTTATTAACGCGGTAAAATTAGACATTATTATCACGGTCGAGGCTCAAGAAAGACGGGTTTTGTCTAAAGCCCGATGGGAAGATGTACTAAAAGGGATGTCTTTTGTGAACGATGTTTATTATTCTCGGACTGTTAATATATTCACCTCTCAAAAAAGAATTTAATTTTAAGTGGAGATACGGCACCGACGCATTCACCCTTTGGTTCATGCCAGGCCTTGTGAATGCAAAACAGTATACTATTTGTAATAAGTTTGAGAGTTTTACTCATAGGAATATTGCACGATATACGAAAACACTGAAAGTATGAGAGATGGACCAAATGGTTTAATGATACGGATACATCGTTTAGACATTCTCCAATCAGCAGGTGGTTCAGCAGTTAACTCAGAAGAAAGAATGCTGACGGGCGGGTAAATTCACCAAAACTTGTGTGAGCTAAATACCAGCGATAGCCCAATAGCTGACAGAAACTTGGTAAAAAGAAATAATTTTTCTCTCTCTGATTGCCATTAACGATAAGAAACGCATGTCATTTGGAGTTTTATTAAGCCTGGAATAACACGACCGGTTTCGCGGTTGCTGTCGCTCGTCGGATATGCATATCCGGCAATCTGCTGTCAGGTCATTATGCTACACCACGGTGGAGAAGTATGTTGACTTGATAGATCTATAATTTCCAACGCTGGTAGCAAATTTGTCGTTTTATCAACCCACACCTTGTGAAATCTTGGTTACTATTGCCTACCATAGGAATACTTAATCAGCCAACCCACAGTTCTGAGTTAAGTTTGCTTTAGAATGGTTGGAACATTATTTAGGAGAGTGACCAGTTTTCGTAATATTGAGCAGTTAAGAAAAGGAATCAGCAGCGCATTGGAAAGTGGAAGGCGAATATTTTGAACAGGCTCATAAAATGCATGCATGAGTGAGTAGAAATAAACCTGTGTATACTTTATCTGGACAGAGCGAGCTGAAATAGTCGTTCCTCTTCTGAAAGCTATAGATTTATACAAGCTCGCGATACAGATTTCCTCGTACTTTAATTTCGTACAACTCAATAACTTCTCTGGCACTGAAGTTCTTTACCTATCAACATAAACCGAATGAGTGCACACTTACCACTCTCCCATTTGAATGGTTAGCTCACACCCCCACTGGATTATCCTAACTAGAAGGAATAATTTTTTTCGTGCAGTATCTGGGTGTACTTAACAGAACATTTCATGAAGGTCATTGCAACGGGGACTCGCTCTTCATTAAAAAAATTGTCACGCAACCTAGACCCTACAACTTGAAAAACATGCAGTTTTTCAATTGTGATACTAAATTTCAGTTAAACTAAAGCCGTCCTGGATTAGCGCTGAAGTTTACGGTTTGGTTGTAATTTACTGCTACTTTTAGATAGTGTGACTCGGTGGTTTCAGTACGACTTATCACTACTGTGCTTTTGGTATCATCAGTGGGACTGATTTTTTGAGTGTTCAAGTTGGGGTCTATTAGATAATACGATTATTTATGTGCTTTTTATTTAGTTAAGAAATTGGTCTATGGATTCCTCGCCACTGTGCTACACGTTCAAGAGATTAATAGTTATCTGTGAATGATTTATTTGCAATCGTATTGACCAGTATAATGGGTGGCTGGGTATGAGGCTAGTCAACTGAAGAAGCAAGAATCCATTTTTATCATGACCTTATCAAACCGCATGATGAGTTGCGTCCCTTTGTTCACGTCCTGACCTAGACATACCGATGCAAGCAGCTATTTGGATGCACTAAATGGCTCTTTTTCCGAGCCTTTTGAGGTGAGTTGCTTCAAATTGTACTGCTTATATATGTTTATAAATGCATGGATATTTTATTTCTATGAATCAGTTATTATTATGCAGTATTAGAATGATCAGTTGACATAATTTGATCACGTACTCATCGTCATTCTCCCACATCTCATCGGGAAAAAGCTGTCCACATTCGAACACCGTTTACAACCCCGTACCTGCGAACACAATGGCACTGTTACTGAGAGTACACTTGTAGTAGAGTGAAATCAAAGTAAGCCAAAATGTGAATTTTTGCAAAATACTAAATGATTCCACAGTGCGATAAGATGTGAATCGAATTAAGCATTGCAATCTGGGTTTTAATCGGAAAAAATATGTATGGAAATCCCACCATAAAGTCATGCTTCAGTGCGATAGCTATCGGGTACTACTAGTTCCTTAGAACTGATTTACCAAACTTAATAACCCAATAAAATGTCAGATCAGTAGGAAACTGACCATTTTTATCCAAATCATTACAGCTTTTCGGTCACTCTCTGGACGCAAACGGAAGTCGCTTTGATTGAAAGTTACGTTTATCAGTATGGTATAAATGCTGCCTGAATGTTTTTGGTTACTGGATGTTCACTCCTGATGAGCTCTGTTGATGGTGAAACTGTAGTTTAGTGCTTAATTGAAAGCACCGAGGATTGTGTGCGAAGATGACATCTGAAGGAAAATCAGTTCAAATCAATTCAAATATAATCAATAAAGATTTACAGCAGATAGAACGGTCAGTTTGCCAAGCTTGAATCAATCAGCAATACGACGCGGATGATAAACAGACTACATGCTTATCGCAAAAGAACTCTGTGTAAGTAACCTAAATAGATTTGTTTAACAGAATTAGCAGATATCAGAGTCCGTATATTTATCTTATTCTGTGTGTCTCACATTTTTCCATTTCAATAATTCCCAATTCGCCTCATACGTTTCATCTAGGGTCGAAAGCAGTACTGAACATCCGTTCTGTTTTCGTTGGAACTCGTCAGGGATGTATACTTTTGATGCCTCTACCGGGATTCGAACCGCAGCCCTTCCGAGTGATTGTCAAAAACCTTACTCTCGAGGCACACGTTTGACTGCCAACACCCTGCAGTTAACATGTGTTTGAATATGGAAACACAACACATCTGGACAATGAAATGTCCTCGTTTCTCAGCGTTGCCTTAGAATCTCCTTTGATCAACTATTGCAATGATGTACACGAAGAACCAATTTAATATATTTAACCTAAGTTAAAGAAATCAAAACTTGTAAATTTCATAATTCGCTCGCTTATGCAACATCAAAATGAGTAAAGTAACAGGTTTCGATGGATATCCATATAACTAAAAAGCAGCTAAAGCTTACAAATATGAAAAGCTGATTTTTTGAAAATGAGCATTACTTTTAATTACAAAAAATAGCTATTTCCTCAACAACTTTAAGAATAGTTGGCTGATTCTCTTACTTCGCCGACATCAAGCAGATTCTTCGCATATCACCTGTTCGAAGCTCCTAAAATGACTCACTTCGTGGGACATTCGTTACGATTTTTCCTTGCATTGAAAAGCCTTATGCATAGCACCGCGGTTCGTTTTGTGATGCTCTCCATCTCAAAACCACTGTCTATCCGGACAGTTGATGATGAAAAATGATCTGTTTCCGACAACCACTGTCTTCCAAGTATAGTTGGCTCATTGCATGACTACCGAAAAGATCAGGTGACGTTTGTCAAAGGTAGGCAACCCTCTTATAAATAAGTGTTTTTTCAATGCACCATCTGAGGTTGACTAGACGCATCCTGCGTATGGGTGGATATGAGGCCAAATAGAAAGACAAAGGGAAGGCTAAAACGTGGTGTAGAGGGTTGAAGAAATTATTTTCGGACCTGGCTACCATTTGGACAACTCTGTTTCGAGTCAGGGGTCCTGTGATTCCAAGTAAGGCTGAGATATGGGATTAAATCGAAGTAGCTGGTATAATTGTTTTTTCATAAATTTCAGTTCCAAACGCAATATCTGAAATCTGGAAAAACTCGTTCAGTTGTTACGGATAGTATTATCTCCACCGTCTTCTCTGAGGGATATGAGAACTAGGACATTTAATATTGATTGTGGATCTGCACTCCCAAAGGAGCTCCGCTATTGCTCTTCACACACACAGGAATCTTGAAATCTTTGTTGCAATTTTCTCCTTCTGAATGCATCTTAAATTAGTTCTTTCATTTCACTTTATCGCTAGATTATATCTCGATGCCAAGATCTTTTTGACGGTGAACCCATCATTCAGTTAGATGAAAAGCTCCATGAATTGAAAGAATTGCACACTGATTGGTTGAAACTGATAAGCGTGCTCTCACTTTTCCATCCCGAGGAAGATAAATGGAATGAGGCTGAAAATCGAGCCACCAGTGAGATTAACCAGGTCAGTTTGCCCGAAACATGATCTTGATCCCCTGGTGAATTACCCTTTATGATCTTTTGAAGTAGATTAAAGCTAATGCGTGTATGGTCAGTTTTTCGGAACATTTCTGCCATCCAACCATATCAACACTGCATACTTCATAATTGGTTTACGTGAACTAGTTTTCTGACAACTACTTGAAAGCTGCATAGAAGGTGCAGTGGTTTGGTCTTCTGATGTGCGCATCGAAAAAACAGGTGCTTGCCGCGTTTCGTTCTCGAAAATCGGAAATATTTGAAGAAAATGGGAGTATGTTTTCCGTCATGGACTTGAAATGGAAGTTTCAAACAACTGATTCATGTAGAGGTTCCTGCAGACAATCGTACGCGCAATATTCCCTGCCCAGACTTTTCATCAATGGCATGTGGCAATGTGGCTTTTATTATCTATTAACTATGTTTTATCATTATTATTATTAGTTTTATTAAATTAGTCATGATAACATAAAAAACAGAATTTCAGTAACGAGATCCTCAATTTTGGTTTAAAGTGAACTAATTAGACGGACCCTTCAGAGTTACGTCTCCTATACACGGACTCAGTGGTGGCTAGTACCAATCACTAGTTCTGACTTCCACGTAGCCGAAAGGTCTCGTTGAGCTAAGACAATTTAATACGATGCACTTGTTAAGCCTAATGCACACCATTTGAATGCAGTCTAGTAGATCTGGTAAAGCAAGATTAGGATTCCATAATTCATACTGAGTTCTTTAACAGTAACGTTATTATACATCTGCATTAGACTCCACGGTGATTGTGGTTTCTCAATGAAAACCTGAACCCGCATCTGCTTTTACGATCCATCATTGTTATCTACAGTTATAATCTCTCTTACTATTAGGCCTGATATAATAATCAATTTAAAATACCCGCATCCTAATAATGATATTAAAACGCCTCCAGTAAAGCTGTGCTTTAGATTTCATTGTTGTCTTTTGGCTAGTTGATTATTACACAATCCGGCAATCTGCGATTTGTGCCGGCAGACAGTCGATTCATGGTAGTTGAGTGAAAACTTTACCAAATCGGGGTTTGTTACATCCTTCGAGCATTGTGACTATCATGAAGTGTTCTGTGCTAGCGGACAAAAGTGGAAGAGGACGAGGGAGAAAAAATATTGACAGAGTAGGGATGAAACGACCTAAGGATTAGTTCCTCGGCATTATTTGTCACTGTCATGCTTTGGATAGTTGATGTGAACTGTTCTTTTTATAATTTTTACAATGTGCTTATTCTTCAGAACCCTTAGCAGTGATCACCATCTTTTCATCCAGCTCCATCGATAGAATTGACGAACACGATACACGGGTCGTGCAATGCTGTTCTTCTGAAGCATTAGAAAACTGGTTTTGGTAACAAAATTCTTCACAGTTGCAATGGCCAATTTTGTGAGCAGATCAATAAAGATCATTAAGTAGCCGGTTCCTCCTTTTTGAGACTCATCAGCAATACGTACCTTTTGAGTTGGGACTCAAACGGTGAACCCTTGGGCTGATAATGAAAATCCTACAGACGACGCCCTTGAACGAGTGGCAAAATTAGTTAAGAATTTCATGTTTGATTAATGCATTCGATTTGAGTCGCGGATACTGGGAGCAGTCAAAAATCACTATCGTATTATAGATCCACCGAAACATGTGGGCTTGTTTGGGACAACATGGTTCATAGACAGCTACATCTGACGTTTATATTAGGGCATCTAACGAAGTATATCCCAGTACTTATTCATTCTTACTCCGTGGTAATACGTTTGTGATGACCCATTGTTGTATAAACTTGTTTTTTTACACGGGTTAAGTAAAAGGCATTCGAATGACAGTTAAATAGTCTCTGGAAGTTTTCAGCCCTTCAGTGAGCACAAATAATAATTTTCCCCTCATACAAAGATCCGGGTGGTAGTATGTTAGAGAGATATTAATAAAACATTCGGACATATTCTGTCACATTCGTAATTGTCGTCCGGTTTTATCCAGTGGGTAATCAGACTGGAATTAGTTGTCACTGAAACAATGCACTAAGTTACCGTATTTACTGTGTTGGTTGATGGGTCTAGTGAAATTCTCCACATAGTCCTCGAGAAGTCACATCAATCAGTATGATTGAAACATCGCACTGTTACAAAATGTTTTTTTAAATTAAAGATGAAACTTCGATGGAAAAGACATGAAATGAACTGAAACAAGCTTTTCCCGGGATAAATTTGTATTACACAAGCCAGTATAGTAACATAACGCAATTTATGTTCTTTACGATTTCGCTGCACCTCAACTGGTTTCTACTGCAAGCAAATGCGTTTTTTATATGGAGTTTGGGAATAGATTACAAGATAAGCAAATATGAATGAAGGGGTGATCAACAAGTCCTTTTGTGGACACAGAATTGATTTCCATCGCTTGACTGTAATCGCATCAGTGATCTTGAGAAATCTGGAGTTATCATTCGTAAGTTCACTGGAAATGGTTTCTTGCGATCAACGTGGTGTTTTTCGTCAACAAGAGCGACGTAGTCGATAAGCTTGGTGTTTCGTTATCAGGGTCCTTCGCGGTTATCAGCTGTGTGGGCTTTGACATGGCAATTTTGTTTTGAACCCAACTCGGAATGTGTTATAAAACAGGATAACGTGATTACCTTTCCGTTCTGTCTATGTAAGTGTCACCGCACCCGCAGCGGAAGTGATAGATTACGTTTGAGTTGGCGTACAGAGGTGGGACGGACATGCCTCTTGTCTTGTGCAAAATTCTGAGTTTGGCAGCATAGTAAGTCCGACTGACAACCGATCTTTACCATTGATGGAATAGATTAGTTACATCACCTTTGGATGGAAGGCAAATTGTGACCTCCAGTCCATAAGCTAACGCAACGACGGACTTTTCAATCTTCGGTCTACTTGGCCTGTCAGCAAATTCCTCCGGATGACCAAATACTATCAACGTGTCACATAACATGCCGCTCTCGTTTGATATCTTGTCATCAGTGCAAATTCTACGGTTTTAATCGAATAGGAGTCTTAGAAAACTATAGTTTATCACGAAGAAACACATTTTGTTTCTCAAATTCTTATCTCTTTTGTGGAATAGCTGATGATGTGCTTGGATATTTGGGATTCGCCATTCAATCTGTCTTTGCAGCGGGCGAAAAGAACAAATTTATATGACTAGTATAGCGGTTTTTGAAACGCTACAATTTAATCGAGACACAGCACCAGAATTCTGAATAATGATATTAGGTGACTGTTTTCATCGTGAAACTACTCACAAGCAATAAGTAGTCTGTTCCTATCGATGCAGCGATCTATTAAATTTATTTGTACCGGCTCACATTGGTTCATCACGGCAATTGTGTTCATCAAACCGGATTAACCTAACCTTTTTCAAACACTGGTGTTATTAGGCAAACAAGAACCACACCTGATGTTTCTGTAATTCTCGCTCTCACTTCCACTGCCACAATTTGCTTCCACGCCTCCACCATTGACTGTTCAGACAATAGTACTTTTCTTCGTTACTAGTCAAAAAAGTAGTCATTTATTTATAATTTATTTTTCATACTAGTAGATTCGACACTGAGATCGAAAACATTATCTGTTGAGTTATGCGGAAACAGTATTCATCAGTGGAAAATAATTACGTAAAATATACGGTATAAACCACACGTACACAATCAGTTTATTATCCTTGTTTCTTGAATACTTTATGGAGTCCATTAGGTGGCGAGTTTGCGTTTGAGATTTAGGTACTATCCTTGAGGTTTTAAATTACGCGCCTGAATTTTGCATGCGAAGTGAGACGGGATTTAACTGTGTTTAATTCTTTTTTTAAGCACACCGAGGAGAGTTCTGACACACTGTGATAGGGACTGAGGTATTTTTGATGTGAAATATATTTTTGGCAGTAAAATGTCTAATGGAGTACGACTGCACATATGTGACGTCCCGATGTGATAAATTGGGAAGAAATTTTATTCACTCTTCTTACTTGTTTTCAGTTCATGTATAGACTGAATAGCCCCTTTTGCTTTGCTTGAGTTTCCATAGAATATTGTACTAGTTCGTCACTCAGTTTGGAAACGCAACAGAAGCGCTATTCACACTAATATGCATTACAGCCTATAAAAGATGTTGGCAATCTTTATTATCTTAAATAAATCTATAAAAGACAGGTTGACTGGATAAAGTCTGAACGATGGTCAATCCAAAGCACTGCTCATAAGTCATTGCGTTAAATGTGAAGTAATATTTATTCAACTCATACTTGGACTCCACACTCACTCAATGATTCGCAATGTTATGCTTTTTTTAACTTGCCAACTTTAAGCGAATCCGATGTCTTTTGAATTCCGCACGCATTCGCGTACACGGAGAAAATGGAATCGCTCAAATCATCAATGTGTTGAAGAACGAAATCGAGCTTTGGGTGCAAAAAGGACAGCAACTTGTGGACTGTAGAAACGTCCTGATGAAAAGCAAACAAGCCGCGTCCTTACAACAGACTTCTTCACCCGACATGGGGCTAAACGTTGAACAGCTGTTTCGCATGTTGGAGTTTGATATCGAACCACTTCGTGCCAGTCTCAATACCTGGGATATGTTGACAAACCAAGCCATCAATGCCATCGGATTGACGGAGAAAAACGACAGCGCAGGCGGACTATCGGCAAGACAAAGCATTCAACAGTCTGTAAAGATATCCACTTCGGGGCTTGTAGATCATGAACAACAGTCAAACGTTGTGTTGGATGAAACACTTGAGATCAATTCCTTGTGTTGCACAAGTTATAACCGGTATGTTTTTCTGTGTTAATTGCACTAATACTAATCAGATGAAATTCTCACAATTCTTATCTTGTACTAAGATTCATGAATTATTTTTTTGGAACACTGGCTTCACACTGTCAAACAACTCATAGGATTTGTTGTTGTTTATTTATAGTGCGGAAATTACACTTTGGACGGATTTGTAAGTTTACATCTAGTTCGCAAAATAGTTTTACCTTTATGTGAATAACGTTAGAGCTCGGATAGTTCCGCTTCAAGGATATCGCGTTATGAGATTTCCTTGTCTCCCTTTTGCAGTTTATCGTGGAAATCAGCCTCCGCTATCTCATACCTCATTAATATTAGATGCCTAATGGCATCCTGGGTAGCGGTCGAGGACTCAAACTGGTTTTTGCGAAGACGAAAAGTGTCTTGGTCTCTAAAATTGAAACAGCATGGTAGCTTTTAATCAGCACAGAACGATCAACTCTTGTATGCGGACAATGATCTAAGAAAAACAAGCCGCATACAGTACATTTATCTTCATGGTTCATTATGTTATGGAATCTGAGGGGGATAGATGCATAGATAGATGCATTCCGCCACGCAATCCAGTGCATCATTCTTTGTGATATTTTTGAGACGATAGCAAATAGTTCTGAATTAGAGTCAGTGAAGTTCTAGAATTACTCTTGATCATTGTTAGATTTTACCAAACACGACNTTTACCAAACACGACCGAAATATCAAAGCTGGTAAGCAGTATATTACCATTTCGGCTTGGCGCATCATCAGCGGAGCTTTTTGCCAGAAACAAATCAGTAATCTCCCAAGCAAATGTGTACGTGTGCATTCAAGTCAGGTAGAGTGGTTGCTTTATGTACCATAAGGTACAAATTCATTCGTTACACAGCAAGCACACTATAGCAACTGGGACGAAAAATCCGGATAAGTAGTACACATTACAGTCAGGACAGAGAGAGTTAACACGCAGTTTTTTTAAGTTAGGATTGGATAGATATCTGAAAAGATATGTGGTATGCAAAGCGAATGGACTGTTGTGGTACATGCATAGGGGTATTCTTAGCGGTATCGGGTGGCGGGAANGGCGGGAACAGAAAAAGATGTAAAGGGGATGTTAAAACTATTTTTGACAGCTGAACCAGCCAACACGGGATAATTTTGTTTGTATCCGAAGCGCCTGCTTATATTTTCCTAGTTCGCTGAACCAGTGTGTGAAGCCACTACTTAGCCAGAAAATGTACCGTTGGCTTTTATAGTTCTTTTATTTATCTTTTCGATCAGGAACTGTATGATGATAGCTAAAAAATAGGGCGGTGGCTGATCAAGCGAGGGGCAAGTCGATGCGGTGGAAACCTAAAGCGTTTGATGATTAAAATGAATTCATTTTTCCCTTCTGGGAGATGTGGGTCTTCCCCCCCCCCCCCCCCCACANCACACAAACTCAGCATCGTCCTTTTTCATGTACAACACGAGATGAATGTCGCCCCCGGATCGTGGAAGCTGTTCACGAGGTTAGAGAATAACTTAAACACCAATAAATTTTATTCGTCGGTATTGTAGCTCAGAGTTAAGTGGTTTCAAATCCGGTAAACCAGAAAAATGTGAGCATTGTTGACGAGGTACGAAAAGAATGAACTAGCGGTTCTTAATTCTCCTTCACAAATAAAATTGTATCGCAATGAGAACTCTACTGCTACAGCTTTAATCTTTTTAGAGATCAAAAATGACTCTCAACTTTACCCTTAGTCTGGAAAATTTAGGTGGAACGCTTTCGTCAAATTCAGTATGTATCTTTACTGCTTCCTCGCTCATGCGCCGGTAGTGTTGATGCACCACAAAACTTTAGATACTTGAAATTACGGGATGAAATCAAATATTTTATTACATATAGGTAACTACCATAAAAAAGATGCACCTCATATTTCAGTGATACGATTTACATGGGATGGCGAATAGAATTTTCAAGATGAAACTAACTTGATTGTTCTATTTCAGGTTGGAGAGAAACTGGGAAAATGAAGATTATTCCACAACTTTGATCTTCGGTTTGAAAGAAATGACTGAAAGTTAGGAACGTGATACCTGGGGATAGTAACAGCGAATTTAATGGGAGGCCTGCCACTTGTATACGAGGAAGGACGCATGAAACCGGGACGGAAAGGTAATTTTGGTTGAAAGAATCCATAATAGTTAGAGTACAATAAACATAAAGATGCAACTGCTCTATATTGACAGTAAATTATACATTAGGGATGAGCCTTAATGAAGCTAACGGTCTTACGTTCAGCCCGATCAAGAACGGACAGAGAAATTCACAGATCGATACCCCGCACATGGCTGCATTATTCAAGTTGAGGTTAAATCTGAACATTGTAATTTGGTGTGGAACCTAAAGCCCATCTTTCGGGTGGCGCGAAATGCAGGTAAGTAAATAGTAATAAGGCGACCACAAAGAAGAAAATAGTTAGTCTTAAAAAGCCACATAACTCCATGAAAAGAAAAACGTTAGAATCAAAATTCAACGTGGAGAGAAAGCTTCATATTACGTAGGAACGGACAAGGATGGTGTTTTACCAAAAATAATGAAAACAACATTGTGACAGCCTCGACCAGAAACAAGATATAGATCAGAAATAAAAAGAGGGATTGTGATAATCTATACTCCAATTATAGAAAGGGCAAATAGCTGGTTCGAACCGAAAATATCTGAATGAGTTGGCATTATATACTACTTCAAAGGATCTCACAGGACAATTTATTCTCCACTTCAGTTTCATGAACCCAGAAAGTTGGTCAATAATAAAAAGTATCTAACTATATATTTAAAAGAAAAATTTACTCCGCCCTTGACCGAGTCCAAGCGGTGCCAAACAAACACGATAGGTCAGCCCTAATTTACTCGTTAATGAAAAAAATGAAGGAACACAGATTGCAGAGAACAATGACAAAGGTAATTATTTTAGTCTATCTTCTCCTGCAGTTCTAATTTTCAAAGATTTTTTCCCTCACGTTGAGAAAATGAAAACTTGTAAAGTTCTTGCCTGTGAAAACGCTTGAACAGGACCCGGATAGTTGATTTTTCGATGGCGCATCGCATATTTATCAATAATATATGAATGCTTTTTTTATACCCGTCCACATTTGTTCGAAGACAATGCTCATCTGTGAAGAAAGACCCTGGGGAAGAATGGTCAAGCTGTCCGACACATGTCCTCTTGTGGCTGAATCGTATGGAGAAAAGTGTTCCGGCGACCTACGACAGGCGACTAGACGAGGTGAACTTGATCGCAGAGCGACTTGTGGAAGACCTGGTTAACTTTATCTGTCCCGATGCAAGTCACCGTTCACAACCGAACTCGGGCCATCCGGCCAAAGAGGCAGCTACTCATGATCGAGAAATTTCAGGTCGTCCTTGTTCTATGCTTACGAACAGGCTCATTAAGTGAGTAGTCAGTAATTTCTGACTATAGCATCGGTGGTAGTGCTTTTTTCCCAAGGTTATTTTGCCCAGGTATGTAACCGATCTTGCTGCTCCAGCAATCAATCGGGCTTTTTTTTAGATCACCAAAAGCTACTGAGGTTTTACTGGTATAATGTAGGATGTCCAAGAATGCCTCTGATAGCGGTTAACTTTACCTTGTTGATGAGTCCATCGAGAAACGACAGCACATTAAACACGAAACATTTTTTAATATTCTGTTACTTTTTGAGGCAGATGAGTATTTAATTTAAACAACGATTAAATTTATGAGGTAGTCAAATTTTCGAATCAAAGTCCACTTCACCAAACTGATTTTCTTTGAACTACTAGAGTGATGACGGCAGACACGTGCAACCTTCCTATAGAAAAGCTTGAATTTTTTACTTCAATCCACAGCGATGGGATCTGCTGCAAACTTTCGTTCCCTAGTATTTGTGCAGTCCTATGAAAATGATTGAAAGTCGTCAGCTGGGCATGGATAAAAATGTACTAATTGTCTCTGCACAACAAACAGCTTGGAATATGTTTATTCTCTAAAATGAGCTTTCAAGCGAGCAATGTGGCACCCAACACTCCTTGAGAATGTGAATTCAAATTTTTCTATGAATGTTGCCTACAAGTAGGGCAATCAATCTTGTTCATACAGAATTTTCAAGGAATAATTTACAGCTCCTGAGCATCTGGAGCAGATAGACGTAATCCTTTATCCACTTGCACGCTAGCTTAATGGCTTTAGTGTGGTTCATGTTATGGAGCTAGCTCCTCAAGGGCGACAAGCTGATCACCAAGGACCAGTTTTATTCTCATCGGCATCAACTGACAGATAATTTTTCAGGCCATCATCATAAGATGGATACACGGACACCTCAAATCACATTTCTCTAAGTTTTTGAATTTTGTAATTTTTAACCATAGTCATTGATGTGGCTATTGACTTTACTATGAATGTTTCCGCTGACGAATCCAGTTCACTCAAATTACGTCACTTGGGGCTGTTAAAATCATATTTTTGGCTTTTCTAAAGTAACCCTAGAATTCCCATGGTTTTATGGCAGCCGTATGCGCTCCGACTAATCAGTTTCATTGCGGTTTTCCTTCATCACACGTTGGAGCTGGAACCACATAGTCGATTGACTTATCAGAGCATTAGGTTCCTAAATTTCTTTAAAAGAAGGACGTCAGTTTTCTGATCAGAATGAGAAAAATAGTCTTCCATTTCTTCTCGTGCTACTCATTCATTCATTCATTGGGTTTTTTGGCATATGATAAACAGTGCGTTTCAAAGTTTAGCATAGGCTTGAACGGGATGTTCGGTAGCGTCATTCTTATATGCAAGTGTCCCGGGAAGAGTTTAATTAGAGAAATATTACATTTCGTCGCACACAGGAAAGGTTTGCACACAGGGCTCACTCAAAGAGCGTTAGATTAGCAACTGAATACATCGATCTAAACTATCATGTACCGTGGAGGACCAAACTGATAGATTAAGCACATCAGCTGGCCAACTGAGGCTAAAGTCATCTGATCGTTTTGCTTCTATTTTATTCAATTTTCATGAGGAACCGTGATGGATGACTACAATTATTGCGTTGTAGACTGCCTATTAGGCACATGAATGCTAACTCCAATGCTGTTTCTGGACTCACTCAATGTGTAGTGTAACATGCACCAACGCTCATTAAAAGATGACCTGTTTCCTTGAGTTTTCCTCCAATAATAGCATCTGAGTAGTATACCTAAGAATGGTCTGCTCCGGCTATGTCAAGTATTTAAGATCATCACGAAAGCAACCCGGAGATCGTGTGTCCAAACCTCATCGCTGTCTCCCATCTTTCTCTTTGTTATACATTGTGTTAGACAGCCTTTAACTGGCCTCGGCTTTGTGGCTGAAAATGCAATGTACAATGGAGTATATTCAATAAAATTCAAGGTAGTAAAACGTTAATATCATTAATACTAAAAGCCGCCTTGATCAGCGTAATGTTGCCTTGAGAAGCATTAGATAGTGCTTGAATCGTTGCAATCAGAAGCTTTTTATAGTTGTACCTGTTCATACCCTGAATCTTGAAAACGTTAATTACCCAGGCATCTTTCGTGTTTGTTTCAGTTTATCTAGAGGTCTCTGGACCAAACTGTCCAATGATCGAATCGAAGGTTACGAATCTATCGCTCTCAGTGAGCAGCGCATCAACTACTTTCAGGTAATCTGCTCTCTCACTCTCGTTCGATCTTCCGGTTAGAGCTGTGATCGTCGGCGATTTTCATACAAATCCAGTTGTGTTTGAAATGACTAAGAGTAAATAAGCTACCGTTCTGTGAATGTACAAAGTCAACAGCTATGACAATTTATTTTAAATTGAGTTAATATTACAGTCAATTTCTTATTGTGGCACCCCTTATAAGTATTTTAATGCGCTTCCACTTTCTAGCAAACCAAAGCCACTCTCATACGTAATAACGTAGATCTTGACTATACAATGTTACCCCCTTAGCGTGTCGCAATTCTTGATATTAAGTCAAATGGTAGTTGAACGATGTATAAGTTGACCACTAACCAACATGCCATGTCTCATTCAACCAGTGACATTTCACCTGGTGTGAACAGATTGGATAACCGTTCTAAGGAAACCACGCGGATTTCTGCAGTCCAAGAAAGTATCATGTGACATTTGACACTGAGCAAGTGACTATCAATCAGACTGAAACATTTCCATACATAAATTCGAAGAGAGAGCACAATCAATCCGTTGTTCATCGGGCTCTGTCGCACTAACGCAGCTGTGCGAACGAGTGAGCGATTGTCCAAGCTATTAAGTTTGCAGTAAGATTTTGTATCTCCGGCCGGTCGATAGCCACCATCGGACTGACACCTGTTCAAAGGGGTGAACGTTGATTACAGTTGACCTTGATAAGGTACACACGGAATTGAACAAGCCACTGACGAAAGGTCATTGTAACAATTACGGTCGGGTTTTATAAGTCCGTTGCCGTTTGCGCGATGTACTTCTACAGTGCGATTGCTCCATCGTTTCACATTGTCTTGTACTTTCATTGATGCTCTTGTTGTCACGTCCAGTCCATCCGTGTGGGAATGGCATGCCTGCTGTACAGTCGATGTTCACTGGGCCTGCCTAAGAGTCGAGGCCGTAAACAAGATGTGGTTTCTCGTTCGGGTTAGCTGGGGAAGCACCAGGTCCCTTGTTGCGGCTGCACTATAAGACCGATCTATAAATAAACCCAATCGGTCATGGGATTTTCGGGCCGGCAGAGGAGCAAGATAAGTTCTCAATCCGATGCTGCTTAAGTGCTGGTATAGAGTCACTACAGGGAAATCAGTTGTGGAACGATGCGCCATATGGGAAATTCGGAATGATAAAAGTTCAAGCGGTGATGACACTGGGCTAACGTTTGCCTCGTCACGTTACTGCTTTGTGGGAGCATGAATGGAGAAAAGTTATCACCCTGGGTGGTCGGAAAGTTTCAAACTCCACGATGCCTCCGAGGTGTAGATAGAAAACACCTTCCATGCAGTTATAATTCTTCAAAGAACGCATGGATGACTCCTACATTATTTCACAGTTGGCTGTCTGATGTCAACCGCAAAATGGTTTCTCAAAGAAGATCTATTCTACTATTTATGGACAATGCCCTTGCCATAACCAAGCCGCAGTATTTTCCAACGTCAAATTGGTACGGCTGCCTCCGAACTGTTCTTCGATGTTACAACCAATGGATCAACGGTGATTTGGTCTTTCAAGTGTTCGTTTCGGAAACATTTACTGGAATATGTTTTGTCTTTGATCGAAGATGAGCAACGTATCATGAAACCCGAGGTGGACATTCTAATGGTCATGCATCTGGTCAAGAAATCTTGGGTGTCTGTGCACCCACACGGACTGATCAACGCTTTCATGAAAGCAGGGTTCAAATCCACATTGATTCAACCGGTGATGCAGCCACCAGAGGATAGATGCGATCTGATCGAGGACTTTACACATTATGTGTCTATTAATGACCGTCTTTTTGAAGTAGAAATCGCCTGTTTGGAATTTTATGATGAAGTGGGTTATTTAAAATTTTTGTATCAAGTCTCGTTTTAGTCATTAGATGAAGTCGTTTCGCATCAAGCTAAGCATCGCAAAGAAGATGAATGAGATGCAGTGAATGCCCCGGAAGTTATCTCAATCAGAGAGGCGCAGGAGTTATTGGATCAATTGAAGGTCTTTGCCTTGGCTAATGCTCGGAGTTCGGGTTGATTATTGGAGTATACAATTGATTTAAACAGCGCGTTTATCGATTTCCAATGGAGAGCCAAGCTGAGACAAACGACGATTTATGATTTTGCTAAGAATACATCTTTTTAATCTGGGAAGTTTTTCTGCTATTCTGTGGGGCATTGAACTGAAATGTGAGCCACTCGAATGTGGCCATTTTTGCTACAATGGTCGCTAAAGCCACGGTCATTCGGTCTATCGATGGGCTCTGTAGCACTAACGTGCAAACGATATTCGCGATTGATCCGTAACAGTTTGCTTACAAGCCAAATAGATCCACCCTGGACATAGTCTCCACCCTCATTCATTTCATCACTAAATCTTTGAACAGCTCTGTTAAGTCTGTTCGGTGTGTTTTTCTCGACTACTGTTCTGCACTTGATTCCATTCCTTGATCTAAGTTGTTGCAAAAACTGGAATCGTTTGAATGCCCCAAGCAGTTTTTCGCTGAGCTATCCAACTATTTTACCGATAGGGTACAAACCACTAGCTTGGGGAAGGCCACATCGAAACCCTTAGTCAACAACTCCAGGGTTCTTCAAGGAGTGGTGCTATCCCCATACTTATTTGTCAATTATATTTGTGGTATTCCCTGTGCTTCTCCCGCACGTATTTTGAAATATGCAGATGACGTCGTGTTGGGCCAACCCAATGCTTCTTACTTTGATCTAAGCCCTTTTACCGATAATCTTGATCAAATTCAATCATTCTCCTCCTCATCGGGGCTAACCCTGAACCCCAGTAAATGTGTT